AAGTGCACACAGCACTTCCACGCCAATATGGCAGTGGGGGATCCGTCCTCAAGCGCCACTGGCCTGCTTCTTTATACTGCTGGCCTCCCTTCGCAAGGTCTGCATTGGAACTTTGGGCCTCCTTCAGTCCCAGACCTCTGCATGGTATGTGTCCCAGTACTTTCCCTTCAGGGTCTGCTGCTGCTGCGGCCATCTGGCCTGAATTTTGGACTGGATGCCTGAATCTAGACTTCCCCTTGGACTTGAATCTTGACTGGGACTTGATCCTTTGAGCTTCCTTTGAACAGACACACATACTGCACGAACAGACACACATACTGCACGAACAGACACACATACTGTACGAACAGACACACATACTGCACGTACAGACACATCTCCTGCACGAACAGACATATCTTGCACACCCCCTGGATGAACAGATGTGACTCCCACATCTGAATATTACAACTGTTCATCCAGGGGCACAACTGTGACCTTTAGTATTGGCTTTTCCTTTAGTTAGGATGTGACCTTTGACCCAGAGAACATGCCTGTTGATCTGCTTTTCACGAGTTGGGGGTCCTGGACGAGTGACCCCTTTTATGCTGCATTTGTCAAACAGGGTCTGGATCGGGTAAAAGCCCTTTTAACTGCACATATTCCTAACAAAAGAAAAACGAGAAAAGAAAAGAAAAGCGAGAAAACAGAGAAATAGTGACCCATAACCGAGATGCACAGACCTGAACTCGAATCCAGACTATATGTTCTCTGCCCACCCTGACGGAGTGCAAGTTTGAAGTGTATCTTGGCATGATGTCAGGTCCTAGCTAATATGCTGAACGGATCCTTCCGAAAAGCAGCTGGACATAACTAGGACGTTCTAATTTTAACTTTTTTAATGCGCTGCATCACTTGTGCGTGCCTGCATGCGCGTGCGGCACCCCCGCACATGAGATGCGCCGCAAGTATGATTCAAACACATATCTCTCTCTCTCTCTCTCTCTCTCTCTCTCTCTCTCTCTCTCTCTCACACACACACACACACACACAAACAAAGGGGGTCCGAAATCCCCCAGGTGAGTGCGCTGGGGGGGCCCAGCCCCCAACCTGGTGCCCTGCCCGGCCGCCCAGGACCTCCCCTGGCCCCCTGCCTGTCACCTGGGCGACCCAGATCCCGACTCGGCTAGAATCTGCATTATGCCATGACTATGGTAAAAAAAAAAAAAAAAAAAAAAAACCACAATCAACTCATGCAAATTTGCATTGCAAGCACATTCCAAATGCAGTCAGATACAAATCAAGGACATGCCACATCTTGCAAAAGCCCCATGTTGCAAATGCCTAATCTCCCTATTCTTCTTCTTCTTCTTCTTCTTCTTCTTCTTTTGCGAATGCCTAGTTTTGAAAATGCCGAACTCTACATTTTGCAAAAGCAAATCCTTTAGAAAATGGCATCCTTTCTCCACAAAAAAAAATCAGATTGAAAAGGCCGAACTCTAAATTTTGCAAAAGCAAATCCATTAGAAATGACATAGGACATCGCCACACCACTCTCGAAATGTGCAAAATGAGAATGAACTTCCTGCTAGAACATGGCCAGATGCCCCCGCCACGGTTTTTCCTTTTTCACATTTCGAGAGGGCTGTGGCGAGGCCCATACTTTTTCACCAACATAAAAGCAGAATTGAGAAATGCCAGGTAGCTTCTGGTATAGAAACAGACGACGCATTCCCTCCATGAAATATGTGAACATTCTATGAACCTACTCGGGGTACTTGGCCCATACATCGGCAGTGGGCTCCTTACATTAAACCACCAGTACCTTTCCCATATATTGGCCACAGGAAGGATCAATTTGGGCGCTCCGGTGGTGGCCTGTCCTTTCATGACAGATGCGGCGAGTTTCGGAGTCGGGGCTCGGGAACCCGTGCACAATGGCAGGCGCCGCCAGCTAAAAGAAAAGTTATCCTCCCAAAGGCGAACCACGACTTTAGGAGGTACTGGCAGCTTAACGGGTCGCTACTTTCAGGTCTCAGGAACCGGTGCAAAATGGCAGCGGTGCCAGCTGAAACAAAATTGCGCGGGTTCGTTTTTTCAATTTTTTTTGCCCTTTCGGTGTGTGCAGTGTGCTTCCAGAGCGTCTTTACCATCTCACTCGACGCCAGATGAATGATGGAGATCGACAACAAGCTAACGCATGTGGATGAGGCAGCTATCACTTCCAGCGATTTGCAAGTCCACAGGCCACTTGAAAACACTATATAACGATGCAGATTGAGGATTACTACACGTGTCACAGTGAAAAAAACACGGCGTGTAAGCGTAGCAATCCCGCACTCCTCGGACCAATTTCAGTTGTTCTGGCATTCAGAGTCTTGCCACGCTGGGATGAGAGCTTTGCTTCCCACAAACAGGAAAATGTAAGAATTTATCATTTCCCAAGAGCAGACAGAGGGCACGAAAAAAGTCGAAAGTGACAAAAAAGAAGCGGCAAGCAGTTTGGAGCCCCATTATTGCCAGTAACCGGGAACAAAATCCCCGAAATTGCCGCCGCCAGGAACAAAATGCCCGAGACGGCATATATACTCAATCCTATTGTCGCACTCAAGAGCCACAAATATATTCTACTCTTTCAGGCTAGCAATCAATTCTCTCAAAAACTGGTTTCAATGTACATGCATACTCTCTTACAAGCAATAAAAAGAAGATTCAGACAGACAGAAATCCATGGTAAGATATATCATGACAAGCCCAAATTGCTAGTATCTGTACCACTTTAAGAAGCTGCACAGTGCATCATCATGCAGGGTCCTTCCACTCCATCAATCATCAATGTCCTTATCGCAAATCTGTCTGCGAAGGGATGAACAGATGCACAAAATCCGGAAAGAAGTAGAGATTAGTTACTAGTACCAGAAGACTCTTACGAAGAAGGTAGGTAGCCTGTGTAATCAAATTCTCCACTCTGACCTTCACTTTCACGGTTTCACCCCATGTTGTATCACCTGCCCCCCTATGGCTGGCTACATTCCCCACTCAGATGATAGGTGGCTGCACCTTTTTCTCTTTTTTTTAGTACTTCTATTATCCTGCGCTCATGAAGCTCCCTTCTCATTCTCATTCTAGTAAGCTCGATATTTCTCCTGACACCACCCCCCCCTGTTCTCCTATCTATAGCCCTCAGGTTATGGCACTCAGGGCATCCATACCACCCAGAATTCAGGATAGTACACACCCCTATGGCGGTGCCCAGTGCTTCTCCCTACAAGGATGCTCACCGCCCTCCATGGCGGTGCCTTCACGGAGAGACGCTCCGCGTCCCATCGTCGAACTATCTTGATGCCCACCCTCCGGGACAGTAATTGCCGGTGCCAGCGCTGGGCAGCGGGACACAGCCCTGGTTGACGCACGCACACACTAAGCGTAATAGAGCCCCATGAGTCATCCGTCATACCCCCAACCTAGGGGGGTTCATACCCGGATCATTCATTCTTGGGCTATCGTGGGCAGTGTCTAATGCCGTTCAATTAAATTACATTGCGGGTACTGCTGCCCGCACGGGGCACTGCGGGCATGTGAAATTTCCAGGACTTTTTTTTTTTTTTTTTCTCCTGGGGTTGGATGGACTCTTCTGCACCCACTCGAAGCACCCGCAAATCCGGGGTCATTCTTGTTTGTCAACGTTGCCTGTTGGTTGGGGAAAGGGGGGTATAATCGAGTCGTCAAGGGAGGTGCCCAGTTTGATACCTTTGTTGTTTTTTCTAGTTTTCTGATGCTAGGGCCGCCTGGGACCCCACGAGCGGATCTGCTCCTTTGTACAAAGAATCAATATGTCAAATAAATGAGACGTTGTACAAGTCCACAACGAAATGGACACGACTTATTCAACGCCGTTGAAGATCACTCATAGTGAAGAACTCGCTGCGAAGACTCAAGCTCGTCGTGAAGCGGAGTCACTGGGAATAATAGCCAGCCCTTGGTTGAACCCCGACCCGTGTCTCTGATACGGCGCGGATGCATACTTGTGCCAGCAGAGCATACAGGAAAAAAAAAGCAGCCCAGGGTTAAACACCTCCATGCTACACCTTCATCTTCGACACCCCCTCTCGTTTACACGAGAGAGATGGTTAATGGAAGGTCTAAAATTCGGTGTTGTTCAACGCATCGCCACAAGCATCGTGGTGGAAAATTTTGGAAACAAACAATGCAGACTCGTAATACAAGCATTAATAAATAAAAAAAAAAACACGCAACATAAAAAGCTCAAAAATACTAAACAACCCTAGCACAAAAAAAAAAACTTCCCGAATTCATATATACAATAAGCGTTCTCACCAAAGTTTTCCAAACTGAATACAAGATATACCGTGAAGCACATACATATCACACAAAAAAAGAAATCAAGAAAATTTCAAAAAAAGCAACAAAAAATCAAGGCAATATGAAAAAATCGGCGAAAATGACATCACCTATTAACCACCTGTGGTTTACACGGGGCCCCATAAGATTTGGCCTGCCACATCAAAGAGGCCAGTCGCACCCAGTAGGGCCTTGCCTGCAATGGTTCAGAAATTAACCTGTAGGCAAAATTGAGCATTGGGTAAAGGAGACTGTCGACACCACCAGTTCTTCCGAGCCTCTTTTTCGCACCGGAAATTTCCACTGCCGCCGAGAAAAAAGAAAGAGCCGGTTATTTGTCGCCTGATATCACCGGCCACTCCAGCCCAGTATGCTGAGCCCCGAAGGTCATGGCACGGTTATGCCACGAAGTTCATGGCACATTTAAGCCCACGTCGGAACAAAATGGCTGGGAGAACTAACTGGTGGTTTAACTCGTTCACTGCTTTGACTGCAGCTCACAGGTCAATCCCTACAATCTCCCCCCCCCCNCCCCCCCCCCAAAAAAAAAAAACACCCTCCTCAGGAAGGTATACACTCCATCTTCCCAATGTGATACATCCACAACCAGGGTGCTTTGCGTTCATGTAAATACGGTGGTCAGGTGTTCTTGGACGTCTCGAGTGTTAGCAATTTTATTTTTTTCTTAGCATAACTCTGAGAAACCGATAGATGCATTTGACTTCCACAACTGCCCTTGACAGTCCCTCAAGGATGCATTTGACTGATGAATTTAGTCACACCACCTCACCCACGGCGATACCCTTGTTGATAAAAACACCCACAACGATACCCTTGTTGAGAAAAACGTTCCACTTTTCTCTCTCTCATGCCTTACTTGCAAGTCTGGCAAGGTTGTGAGTCATCCAGCCATTGTGTGTCCAAGACAGGCCCCGGTAGGTCGAAGAAGAAGAAGAAGAAGAAGAAGAAGAAGAAGAAGAAGAAGAAGAAGAAGAAGAAGAAGAAGAAGAAGCATGCTCCCCACGAATAGATTGGAGCACAGTCCCAACAGAAAGAAAGAAAGAAAAATAAAAAGATGAGCAGCACGTAAAGAAGTGATACCAACGGTGAGCAGCGGCTGTGCTTTTTTTTTTTTTTTTTTTTTTTAAACTGCCCGTTTGGGAGCTAGGGGTGCTGTGCTATTTCATCATCATGCTCAGTTTTCCGCTCTTTTTCTTTGCGACATCGACGCACGAGTGAACGACACGAGTGAGTAATAAGGCTGTTTCCGAACAACCAACCACCTTCCTCCTGAAGGCCCCCATCTACACCATGCTCCACCTCTTTGAGTTTCTGCTGAACAGAACAGACAAATGATTGTGGAGGAATGGCCCCCGTTCTGCAACTGCTCAAATTCTTGTCGAACTCACATGGGTCTCCTCCCATCCTCTACCTGCTCAACGGTACCACCCTTCACTTGCTATTCTCTCCATCCGGCAGTACTTCTTTCAAAAAATGTCTACCCTTGATCCTGGACTCACTTGATCTGGTACAACAAACTTATTTGCGATTTCCCAATGTGTTCAAAACAGCACTTCCATTAAGTTCCATAAGATATCCCAGCAGAGCTCTTGTACTCTATATAACACAACAAAACGCCCCACACCTCCGACTTCAGACTGCCAATCCGCAGTGTTAACCGCGGCCAGCAATACATTCAGCAGAGTCATATATCAAACGCGCACACATCTACAGAAATGCAGGGCCAGCGGTAAGGGGCAGCAAAGCAATCAGAGTGACGGGACGATCTGTCAACCAGACCTGCGCACCCTTGCAGCAAATCCGGAACGCTTAGGTAATTGGTGATTACTTATTTGCGTGTGCACCTCCCATCTGCAGACGTCTGCCTTCACAGCATTGGGTTGCAAGGTATTCATTCACAGTCACACTCTCCACCTCCGGGCACCTGCCTGCTGCTACAGACTGCTGCAGTGGAATCCTTTGCAGTCGCATCTTCCGTGTCTGAGCACATCCATCTGGTCTGCTCCTTGGAGATTGTTGCCGGGCAGTCTCCCTTCGCAGTCGCACCTCTTACGTCTGGATGCATCCACCGGGCTGCTGCTGGCTACAGATGCATGCCTGCAATATTGTGACTGTGACCATTTGGAGTCCCATCTTCCTCCCTCCACGGTTCCACACAGGGCATCGGCGCACTGCCTGCAGGTAGTTGGAGGGATATCATCTGGCAGTTGTGCCTTCGATCTTTCAGATATCCGCCTGGTGCCTCCCAGACTCCATCCCTTGGGAAACCCTCTATCAGCCAAAAAAAGAGAAAACAAAATGGCCCAAGGCACGAGGAAAACAGAATCGGATGGCAGCCACTTTCAAACCACCAGGACACGGCCCCAGCCTTGCTGAAAAAGAAACTCGTAGACTCCGAAAAGTTTGGAGGCAAGGCCTACCGTCTCACCCGGGCTGGCGGCGCCAGCCAAAAAAGAAAAAAGTGTGCCGCTGGCGGTTCAGCAAACCTTGCCGCGCAGAAAGGGGCCTGCAGGCCTGGATGTATTGGAGATTTAATAGGGTGGAAACTTGAGACGATGCGTGCGCAAAAATACCACACAGCACTCAAAATAAGACGATGCGTGCGCAAAAATACCACACAGCACTCAAAATAAGCAGAAGTAAATCCTCCGCACAACACATACCGGCAATCCGCACACACTCATCAATTGTCTACACAGAGGCGCAAAACGACCCAAGGAATTCAGTCATTGGAAAGCTACATGCTAGCTATCCTGGTAACAGCACATTCTATAAATGCATGTGAGAAGGAGGACTTCCTTCCACACAAAAAGAAGGTCGCGCTACAACTTGCAACCGTCTGTCCTCTTTTCTGAGCAAGTAAAGGACGTCGGCGGAAACAGTGCAACTCCACCTTTCCCATGTGGAAAGTTCTTTTTCGGAGTTTTTCCGTGCACTTCTAGCATCGGTCCATTTCCTGTGACGACAGCGTGCAGCTTTGCTGCAAACTGAATTCCCTGGGTTGGGTTGTTTTCCCTGTCTTTTCACGGCTCCACACATCCGGTGGGTTCCGTCTCTACCTCATTTACTTGTTGTTGGGCGCACATACTGCTGCTTTGTGCCTGTGTACAGATAAACTGTGATTAGCCAGGATCGCGTTTCTGCTTCCCAGTGCTGGATCACACTTTGTTCCACAAACTTGCTTCTCCAAGGATGCGAAAAAAGTTAGCTTGCCGGACAAGACAAGGGAACAAAATAGTGGCAAACACACAGGAACCGACATAGAAACTACCGAGAAACTACATGGAACCTACGTAAGATCTACATAGCCCATACATACAAACTAGATGGAGCCTAACTCAACCAGAAAAAAAAAATGGATGTACATCTGGGATGGGACGAATCCATCAAATCAAGAGTTGTTCTCCATGGCCACCATCATCCAATGACATTCTCGCGTCGAAGTTAAAAGCGATATTGAACAGTGCCTGTGGTCATCAGTATTTGCAGGCTCAAGAGTTTCGGCGAACTCTACTTTCGTGAAGACACCTAGTCGTGCCCAAATAAACATAGACCTGTTCTAGTTCACAGACGAGACACATCCAACGACCATAAGGTCCATGAAAGGGGAGCATCGCATTATATGGGAGGCCATAACAAGTCCCACTTCTCCCAAGTTCTAGTTGGGGACACGCAGACACAGACAGCTGGAAAGGAAAAGCAATACAGTTTCTTCATACGGCAAGCAGTAGGCAGAACAAACCATTCCCCTTTCCTCCTAACTCTCTCTCTCTCTCTCTCTCTCTCTCTCTCTCTCTCTCTCTCTCTCTCTCTCTCTCTCTCTCTCTCACACACACACA